TTGAAACAATAGTTCTCACACTGACTCAGAAAAATAGCATGCTGGACATCTTAAGGCCCCCCTATTCACAGCCTACGAGATTCACTTGTGATGGGCCCTAACGGAATTATCAAACTAGTCTCTTCTTGAAAATTTTGATGAAACTGGAAACCATGGGCGAACACAGAGGATGAAAATATTGAGAAATAAAGATGTTCAGACTCAGAATTAGAAAATAGAAGTCTATTGGAAAGTGGAAGAGAAGGGAAAAGAAACTCCCCATGCAGGGAGAAACTTAGTATAGGACTAAGTTAAATGTGTCTCATTTTGTGGGGGTTTTATAAGAAAACTAGATCTTTTTGTCACTTGTCGAGTGACAAAGAACTACAGAGCATGCAGAGATCATACAGAGTGGTTTGCTGGTTTAGGTCTTTTGGCTTCTCCATCTGATCATTTGCCGTAGGGATTGCCATTTTGCTTAGTCTCTGGTGAGCCTAAACTCTAGAGCAGAATTCATGGTACTGGGAAGTTGCTGGCTTTCCTTCCTTAGGAAACGCCCGAGCTTTTTGCTTGTTATTCGTTTATTTATTTTCAATTTTTTAACCTATTTTATTGAATGACTATGAGATAGAGTATCATGAAGCTGTTCATGACTGGGTTCCAGCCATACAATCCTTCCACCGGTGTAATTTCATAGCACCAGTGCCCCCAGTTTCTCTCCCACCCTCCAAGTCACCCCCACCCCTGCCTGCCTCTATGACAGGCACCTCTCTTCTCTCTCTCCCTGTCTCTTTCTCTCTCTTATTTTAGACATTATGGTTTTCAGTAGAGGTGCTGAGAGGTTATCACGTATATCCCTTTGCCTGCTTTCAACACTCGGTTCTTGTCCAGAGTGATCATTTCCAAGTCGTATTGTCATGATGGACCCTCTTCTATCTTAACTACCCTCCATCCCCCACAACCCTGTGGTAATTTTCAACCACTGACCAGTTCGCCAGACCCGTTTTCCTTGGCCTTTGATATTAGTTTCATTGGAGCGATAGCACAGTGGGTAGGGCGTTTGCCTTGCACGCGGCCAACATGGCCGACCCGAGTTCGATTCCTCCGCCCCTCTCGGAGAGCCCGGCAAGCTACCGAGAGTATTGGATATGCCAGACACAGTAACAACAAAGTCTCCAATGGAGACGTTACTGGGCCCGCTCGAGCAAATCGATGATCAACGGGAGGGCCTTTACCTTTACCTTTACTTTTAAAATAATATCCCACCAATCAATGCGGTTGTTCTGTATCTGCCCGTCTCCTGCTGACTCATTTCACTCATCATGATACGTTCCAGGTCCATCCATTTATAGGCGATTTTATGACTTCGTTTTTCCTAACAGCTGCATAGTGTTCCATTGTGTAGATGTGCCATAGCTTCTTTACCCAGTCGTCTGTTCTTGGGCACTCAGGTTGTTTCCAGATTCTGGCTATGGTGAACGGTGCTGCAACGAACACAGGAGTGCAGAAGGTGTTTCTGCTGGGTGGTCTTGGGCCCCCAGGGTATGTTCCCAGAAGTGGCGTTGCTGGGTCAAATAGGAGCTCAGTTTCAAGGTTTTTAAGGAATGTCCATATTGTTTTCCAAAAAGGCTGGACCAGTCGACATTCCCAGCAGCAATGAACGAGAGTCCCTTTCTCCCCACACTCGAGCCAGCACTGGTTGTTCTTGTTCATCTGGATGTGTGCCAGTCTCTGTGGTGTGCGATGGTATCTCATTGTTGTTTGATTTGCATCTCCCTGATGATTAGCGGTCTGGAGCATTTTTTCACGTGCCTTTTGGCCATTCCAATTTCTTCTTTGAGGAAATTCTGTTAATTTCTTCTCCCCATTTTTTTTTTTGGTAAGGTTGGATGCTTTTTTCTTGTAAAATTCTATCAGTGGCTTGTATATTTTTGATATCAAACCCTTATAAGATGAGAATTGGGTGAATAGTTTTTCCAACTCCACGAAGTCCAAGATTTTGCAGGAATGGAGTTTAGAGATAGCAGCATCCTGACTCTCAACCATAAAGATCAGAGGCAGCTGCAACGGGGCTACTCACAGCAGCTCCCAAGGGGAAACTGAGGCTTCTTTCGAAGTCACTGGCTTGTTTTAAGAAGGTAGACTCTAGTTATGGACTGCTTGCCCAGGTTCTGCTGGTGAGAGGGCCAGGCCAGGGGATATGACAGGACTCCGGTGTGTAGTTTTCAGGGCTGTGTAATACTTCCAGACTCCTGGTGGTGCTAATTGAACTGACTCCCTCCTGGACAGAGAAGACTGTCAAACCTTCTGCTGCCTTTTCTCTGCCCCTGTTTCTTCTCTGATGTGGCCCCTCTGTAGCTGTGCAGACCCTGAGGAGGTGGGGCAAGCAGGTCCAAGTCCTTCAGGTAAGGGTCTCAGGCCAGGGTGCTGACCACCTGGGCAGGAGGGCAGGGCTGTCATCGCCCCTCTGGGCAGCACCGGACTGTCCGTCACAGCCGGGTCCCAGAGCAGGCCTCTGAAATTCTTGAGCCTATGTGGTCAAACCTTCGTTTTTGCAGCGCCTTACACTGTCTGTTGGGTGGTTCCCGGGGAGTGGGGAGGCTTTCAAAGTACCCACAAAACGAAGACGTCTCGGGCCCTGCGTTCTTGAACTTTCTTTCCTGTTGGAAAGTGCTGTGTTTTCCAAATGAAAGCCATTTTGACAAGTGCGAACACAACTTTGTGTTGTAACGGAATAAGAATCTCTTTTCCTTTGAAAGGAAAAGGGCTGGGGGCGGGAGCGACAGCACCGCGGCCGACCTGGGTCGCAGCCCTGGCAGCCCGGTGGTCCCTGGACGTGCCAGGAGTGACCCCTGAGTGCAACACCGGCCAGGTGTGGCCCAAGAACCCAAGCAGGGAGAAAGCCGAGTGCGCGCTGCAGCAGGCCTCAGGGGAAGAAGCCCCTTCCCAGGGGAGGCGGAGCGCGGCACCGGGACAGGGCTCAAGGGCCCGGAGAGACCCGACCCCGGTTCCGGCTGCTCTGGGCCTCCCGGCAGCTGCTGTCCGGGGCTCGCCGGGGACACTCGGGCCCGGGGAGGGGGGCGCGCGGCGGGGCGACGGCGGCGCCAGGGGGCTGAGGCCCGCGGGGCGTTCGGGACGCAGCGCCCGTGCCGGGGTCTCTCCGTCGCCCTGAGGCCCGGCCGCGGGCAGCAGCGGGTCTCACCAGGGCCCGAGCTTGAGGGTCCCCAGGCGCCACCTCGGGGGGAAGGGGGGGGCCCATCCGCAATGGGCGTGGCCGCTGGGCTCGCTCGGGCCTGCCCAGAGGGGCGGGGTCAGGTTGTTGGCCCCGCCCAGAAGGGGGCGGAGTCCGTGCTGCCACCGCAGCTCGGGGAGGAGCCGCGGAGTCTCGGGGCCCCGCCCATAGGGCGGAGCCTGTAGCTCTTTGGCCCCGCCCAGCAGGGGGTTAGGAACCGCCATTCCCGCCGATGAAGGGGGGAAATGAGTCTCGAGGCCCCGCCCACGAAGGCGGAGCATCAGCCCTTTGGCCGCGCCAGGGAGGAGCCGTTTCTCTAGACCCCGCCTACAGAGGCGGAGTCTCACGCCCACCGGCCCCCGCCCGGAGAGGGGCCGGGCTCGGGCTCCGCCCACAGGGCGGAGTCTCAGTCCCTCCGGTCCCGCCTGGAGAGGGGCCGGGCTCGGGCCCCGCCCACGGGGCAGAGTCTCAGTCCTCTCGGCCCCGTCTGGAGAGGGGCCGGGCTCGGGCCCCGCCCACGGGGCGGAGTGTTAGTCCCTCCGGCCCCGCCTGGAGAGGGGCCGGGTTCGGGTCCCACCCACAGGGCGGAGTCTCAGTCCCTCCGGTCCCGCCCACGGGGCGGAGTCTCAGTCCTTTCGGCCCCTCCTGGAGAGGGGCCGGGCTCGTGCCCCGCCCACGGGGCGGAGTGTTAGTCCCTCCGGCCCCGCCCACGGGGCGGAGTCTCAGTCCTTTCGGCCCCGCCCGGAAAGAGGCCGGGCTCGGGTCCCGCCCACGGGGCGGAGTCTCAGCCGCTCCGGCCCCGCCTGGAGAGGAGCCGGGTTCGGGCCCCGCCCACGGGGCGGAGTCTCAGTCCCTTCGGCCCCGCCCGGAGAGAGGCCGGAGCCGGGCCCCGCCCACGGGGCGGAGTCTCAGCCGCTCCGGCCCCGCCTGGAGAGGAGCCGGGTTCGGGCCCCGCCCACAGGGCGGAGTCTCAGTCCCTCCGGTTCCGCTCACGGGGCGGAGTCTCAGTCCCTCCGGCCCCGCCCGGAGAGGGGCCGGAGTCGGGCCCGCCCACGGGGCGGAGTCTCAGCCGCTCCGGCCCCGCCTGGAGAGGAGCCGGGTTCGGGCCCCGCCCACGGGGCGGAGTCTCAGTCCCTCCGGCCCCGCCCACGGGGCGGAGTGTCAGTCCTTTCGGCCCCGCCCGGAGAGAGGCCGGGCTCGGGCCCCGCCCACGGGGCGGAGTCTCAGCCGCTCCGGCCCCGCCTGGAGAGGAGCCGGGTTCGGGCCCCGCCCACGGGGCGGAGTCTCAGTCCCTCCGGCCCCGCCTGGAGAGGGGCCGGAGTCGCCCCCGCCCACGGGGCGGAGTCTCAGCCGCTCCGGCCCCGCCTGGAGAGGAGCCGGGTTCGGGCCCCGCCCACAGGGCGGAGTCTCAGTCCCTCCGGTTCCGCTCACGGGGCGGAGTCTCAGTCCCTTCGGCCCCGCCCGGAGAGAGGCCGGGCTCGGGCCCCGCCCACGGGGCGGAGTCTCAGTCCCTCCGGCCCCGCCTGGAGAGGAGCCGGGTTCGGGCCCCGCCCACAGGGCGGAGTCTCAGTCCCTCCGGTTCCGCTCACGGGGCGGAGTCTCAGTCCCTTCGGCCCCGCCCGGAGAGGGGCCGGACTCGGGCCCCGCCCACGGGGCGGAGTCTCCGCCGCTCCGGCCCCGCCCGGGGAGGCGTGCCGCGGAGCCATTGGCCGCCGCGCGCACGTGACGCGCCGCGCATCCCCCGTCCCGGTCCGGCTGGCGGGCGGCGGGCGGCGGCGGCGGCGGCGGCGGGCTCGGTGGCGCGTGGCCCGCGCGGCCGTCCGGCCTCCCGATGTCGCGCGCGGGCGCCGAGTACTCGCTGCGCAGCCTGGGCGGCGCCATGGGCGAGGCGGGCGAGCGCAGCCTGCTGGCGGGGCCCGCGCTGGAGCGCGCGGCGCGGCGGCGCTTCCAGCAGGGCGAGACCCCCGGCGTGGTGTACGCGGCGGCCGCCTGCTCGGCGCTCGGCGGCTTCCTGCTGGGCTACGACACGGGCGTGGTGTCGGGCGCGCTGCTGCCCCTGCGCCGCCGCCTGCGCCTGTCGCCGCTCTGGCAGGAGCTGCTGGTGTCCGGCGCGGCGGGCGCGGCCGCGGGCTCGGCGCTGGCCGGCGGCGCCCTCAACGGCGCGCTGGGCCGCCGCGCCGCCGTGCTGCTGGCCAGCGCGCTCTGCGCGGCCGGCTCGGCGCTGCTGGCCGCGGCCGGCGACAAGGAGACGCTGCTGGCCGGACGCCTGGTCGTGGGGCTGGGCATCGGTGAGTGGGCGCCGCGACCCTCGCCGGGCGCACGGCCGGGGCCGCGCGGGGTGGTCGGGGCTCGGGGCTCGGAGGGCTGGACGCGGCGCGCAGGGTGGAAGCGGCGCGGAGGGTGGACGCGGCGCGCAGGGTGGACGTGGCGCCCAGGGTGGACGCGGCGCGCAGGGTGGACGTGGCGTGCAGGGTGGACGGGGCTCGGGGCTCGGAGGGCTGGACGCGGCGCGCAGGGTGGAAGCGGCGCCCAGGGTGGACGCGGCGCGGAGGGTGGAAGCGGCGCGGAGGGTGGACGTGGCGCCCAGGGTGGACGCGGCGTGCAGGGTGGAAGCGGCGCGGAGGGTGGACGCGGTGCGCAGGGTGGACGTGGCGCCCAGTTTGGAAGCGGCGCGCAGGGTGGACGCGGCGTGCAGGGTGGACGGGGCTCGGAGGGCTGGACGCGGCGCGCAGGGTGGAAGCGGCGCGCAGGGTGGAAGCGGCGCGCAGGGTGGAAGCGGCGCGCAGGGTGGAAGCGGCGCGCAGGGTGGACGTGGCGCCCAGGGTGGACGCGGTGTGCAGGGTGGACGGGGCTCGGAGGGCTGGACGCAGTGCGCAGGGTAGACGTGGCGCCCAGGGTGGACGCGGCGCGCAGGGTGGACGTGACGCCCAGGGTGGACCCGGCGCGCCCTCCTTTCCCGGGGTCTGCCCTGTCCCCGCCGCCCTTTTCCTTTACCCGGAGCGTCACCGCTCCTGCTCTTGCCTTTACGGTTCGCCTTGCCCTTTGCTTCTGTCCTTTTCCCAGGCGTGTCCCTTGTGTCTTTCTCCTAACTTTGCTCTTTGATTCTGAATTTACCCATTCGCCTCTTTGTTTTGCTTCTCCTGCTTACCCCTCGGGAACCAAATTATCCACTAAAGTTCACTTTCTAAATTCGTTTAGGAGCTGCTCCGCCTGTGGAAAGTGCCCAGTAAGAGGCTGTCTGCAATTTGCAAAAACAAGAAAACAAAACGAGAAGGGATCGAGGCTCTCCTGGCATTGTTTTTCCCCACCTTCCCCGCAGAGCTGGAGCGCAGTTGGCAGGGTCTTGGCCATGGACGTCCTTTAGAATGTGCCCTGTGTTATTAGAAAGTTATTTTCTTGAGGACTGGTGGGGGAGGCCTAAATCTCTTCCCAGCTTACTGGGCCCAGTGTTTCCTTTTTTACCCGGGATTGTTTCTCAGACCGCTGGCCTTCCGGGGTTTGTGTCTTCCCACGCACTGGACGTGTTTTCCAGGGTTTTGTCTTCCCACGCACTGGACTGTTTTCCAGCCGCCCTCTGGGCTTCACAGAGTGGCCCTTCCACGTGTCCTGGAGAGCCACCCTGCCCTTACTGACTGCCCCCACCCGGTTTTCCCAGGGTCAGGTGCCAGGGAGTATTGAGTTGCACACTGCGTCCAAGCACAAAATGACCAGAACATTCCGGCCAGGTGGAGCCCCTGTGCCTGCAGACCTCCCTGGTCGCCTCCTAAAAGCCCGGCCACCAGCAACCCCTTTTCTCTGTCTGGACACTGTGCTGTCTGATTTTCCCTTCAGACACAGATACGAGTCTCGAGCTTTCCTCAGTACGCCCAGATTTTATTTGTGAATCAGAAGTTAAACACTGTCGTCCAGACTCAAACTATGGTGCCGGGTTTTAGCCAGTGCGGCTGCTGGCTTCACACCGTTCCCTGGTAGGGAGTTCTCTGGTGAATCAGGCTGGGTGTCCATAGCCGCCAGAGGGAGGCAGGGCTGCCCCACGCATGTCCGGGATAGGAGAGCAGCAAAGGCCCTTACCCGGGGTGGGCCTGAAGGTGGGCCCTGCGGGTGGGAGCAGGTGGTCTGCAGCAGTCACAGCCCTGGGGGGCGGTGGCCGGGCAGGACTCCGGCCTATCTCCTCCGGCCTGCTGTCTGTTGCGGACGCCTGGGCTTGCTTCAAGCCTGCTGGTGCCCATCTCAGCCCTGCAGAGCGCCCGGAGTATGCCGGGTCTCCTTCATAAGGTGAGGATTGTGTGACGGCCTCAGCAGGCTTGAAGGAGGTATCGCCACAGTTCAGACGGGGTCTGTGCAACGCTGACGGTTAGTACACGGCAGGCCTTCAGAACACACCAGCATCTCCTCGCCCAGATCACGAGCCGTACAGGAGACAGTGCACACCTTCCACTCTTCTATTTAAGCTGCAGGAAATTTCCGGGCCCTAATCAGAATGGTTTGTCCTGAATGATTCAGGACACTGAATTGGTTTGCTTGCTTAATTACAATAAACTTGTGATAATTTCATGCTACTGTTTTTTTTAAGTGCTTAGATTTTGTATAGTTAGGAGTTGGGGTGTGTGTGTGTGTGTGAGAGAGAGAGAGAGAGACAGAGACAGAGATAGACAGAGACAGAGACTGTAGAGGAGAGCGGGGAGAGAGAGACATTGTAACGTTGATGAATGATGAAAAGTGGCTTCTGGAGGCTTTTGGATGCTAGTTGGGGTGGCTCAAGGGCAGGGCTGCATCGTGCTCAGTTGTGGCAGTATTCCCTCCCGTGGCAGGTTCTGGCAACCAGTGGACAGTGAACAGAGACCTAGGAGGAGACTTGCCAGAGGAACCCCTTCTAAGTTAGAATTGTTCTCTAAAAAAGAAACAGATGGCATGTTAAAATACTTGAAAGGTCATCAGGGTTGAGTTTCTGATAGTTTGATTAAATCATCCACTTGTCCGTGTAACAGATGCGAACGAGGGTTCCCTTGTTGATTCTGTCAGATTTGGAGCACACAAGTGTTGACTAGTTAAAAACCCTCACTCGGGGACTGAGGATGTGGCTAAGTGTGATACTGTGATACTCCCGGGATGTGGCTCGGTGCCTCATTGCCCTGCGTGTATGAGGCTTTGGATTTAGTCCCCAGCAGTGTTTGATCGCCCCTGTGGCGACAGGAGCGATACCGGGCCTGAGCTGGGAGTCCCTGGCACAGTTGGGTGAGGCCCAGAAGCAAAAGAAAGGAAAAGGAAGATGGAACCTTGAACTGTGCTTCCTGGTGACACAAAGAGTTGCGCCTAACCGCTGGGGTCCACTACCGGGCTAGGCGAGGGAGGGTCTGCAGTCATCCTAGCCTGACCTTGAGGGGTGGGCATAGGTCGTGCAGACACAGGGGCCGAGAGGGGCCAAGGTGTGCTCAGCGCGTGCACGTGTGCATTCCCCAATCCTGGCCGCCTGCTCAGCTCAGCGTGTGCACCCGGGCGTTCCCCGAACTCTGGCCGCCTGCTTAGCGCGCGTTCGCGTGCATTCCCGGAACCCAGGCGCAAACCGTGAAGCAGCAGAGAAGCAGATCCCTGTTTCCTGGCCGCAGATGCAGCTGACAGCCCATGAGTGGACGAGGTCTTTGGCACGAGGTGGATCTTTAGAAAGCAAAGCCTCGGCTGCTGCTTGTCCTGCCAGCAAACTGCCTCTTAGGTTGCGGAAACGGGGGCAGGAGCGCCGGAATGAGACAGAGGAGGGCGGCGGGTCGTGGGGAGCGGGGATGTCAGGTGGTTGCACGGGGACAGCAGAACAGCAAGTGCCCAGACTGGGGTAGTAGGGGTCACTGGCCCGGTGAGTGGCCTTGCGCAGCTGCCAGGGCGAGGCAGAGGGGGCGGGGGGGGGGGGGGCGGAATGTTGCATGGTGGCTTCAGCTCCCGCACCTTGACCAGGCGCAGCTGCAGGTCAGCCTCTGCGCCTCGCTCTCGGATGTGCCGTGGATGCAGTGCTCTTCCCCACGGAGCCTGCCCTGGCAGCCACACTTGCCCCGGGTTACTCCTGGCTCGGCACTCTCGGTGGGCTTGGGCAACCGTAGGGAGTGCTGGGGATCCAACCTGGGAAGGCCACGTGCCAGGCGGACACTGTGCCATCTGTACTGTCCTTCCAGGTAATTCTTACTTTTTTTTTCTGTTTTGTGACCACACCCAGTGATGCTCAGGGCTACTCCTGGCTCTGTGCTCAGGGACCACTCCTGGTGCAGCTCTGGGACACATACGGGGTACCAGGTTTCGCCTGGATTGGCTGCGTCTGAGGCAGGTGTCTTACTGGCTTCACTGTTCCCCCGGCCCTGCTCCCTTTGGACGTGGTTGCGACCTGCAGAGCTGCTGCTATCCAAGGCACAGTGTCCTTTCTGCGCGCCACCTGTCAGGCACGTGTCCGGCTGGAGGCAGAAGCAGCAGCACTCAGAGACGGCATCTGCTCGCGCTTGCTTTTGTGTGACGCTGCGCACACAGCTGTGTAGAAAGGGCCCCGGGGGTAGAGGCCCCCGCAAGTTCCCAGAGCAGCTCACAGGCACTTGGTGCTTGCTCAGCAGGGCCATTAGCTGTGATGCTCAGGATACGCCTAATCCAGTGCTTATATTCTGAATATCTGGAAGCCTTTGGATTCAGACGTTCCTCGGAATTCAGAACTTCTCTGAAAGCTGAGCTGTTCTCTCCGCGCTGTTTTGATTAGCCTCCAGGTCTGTGCCTACATATCCTCAGCTGTAACTGCTCCCGTGCCGGAAGCCAGCTCGTCACCTCTGTGTGTCATCTCGGTGGGCTGGGGCCAGTTGAGTAATGCTCTTGGAAATGTCATCCCTCTCCCCAGCGGCATTTTTCATCCTTATTAAAGCAAATAAAAATATCTCTGATCCAAAAGGCCTGTAGTGCTGAGTAATGTTAATGAATAGTTTCACTTTCTAAGTGCGGTCAGCCAGAATCAGCCAGGCTTCGTAAGAGGAAAACAGCTCACGCGGGGTCGCCTTGTACCGTGGAGTCTGTTCGTCTCTCTCCGCGCAGGTTTCTGTGCTAGATTCCTGCTCTCTGCCGGCAGGACTCTCTCCACCTGGGCGACCTCTGTCCCACACTCACACCGGCACACTCAGCTTGTACCCGGGAGGCCCTGACCTGGTGCTGTTGGCCTGTCTGCACTGGGCAGGGCCTGAGCCCATGCGGTCAGCCTGCGGGCCAGTGTCCTCCCCCGTGCAGACGAGCACCCTGTGCTGGGCTGTGGTGCTCGAGCTGTGAGCTTGCT